CCCCCAGCCACTGGCAGGAGTCACACAGGCTCCCTGAGACTTCACTTTATGGCGCTGACCCCCACGTCGCCGGCCTCCTCCTCCAACTTTTGACTGAAAAACAAGAAGAGAAGTTTTAGTGTGCAGTGACCACTGAATCAGAATATCAACATAGCAGGAGTTCAAACAGACTATAATGCACATCCAAAAACTGTGAAGGCACTTTTTACTGATCAGCTCCCTGCCACTGCAGGAAGGAGGAAAGAAGCAGACAGACACACCATGAAGTTTGGCCCTTTAAGCTGGACCTGATTTCCCAACGTTCTGAATGCTTAACTCCCATAAGAGCCAGCGGGAGCCGTGGGGCTCAGCATCCGGGAAATCGAGGCCTCAGATTCCCACAGCTTTGTAGGGAATGGAAGGAGAAAACCCCCCTAAGGACTCTCTTGCTAACATGACTCTGTTCCCAGACTTAGGCCAGCAAGCCCACCATTCTCTTTTAAAGCAGCTGAATAGCTGGTTTGAAATACCTTATTGCCCTCGCGCGTGTGGAGCTCTTCATCCAGTGCAGGCTGAGGGGAAGCAGCAAGGAGAGAGAGACAGAGATAAGCAAGAGCAAAAGCAACACAGGCTCTCAGAGGAAGGCACAAAACAAAGAGCAAGCTGGGAGCATTACTTACAACCACAGTGATGCTACAACAAAGACAAGGAGGAGATGAAGGATCAAAAAGAAACCACAGGCAAACGCAAAGGGAGAGAATTCCGGCCAAAGGGCCCTCTTCCGCAGCCAGCCTGGCTCAAGAAGAAGGTGAGATTTGACAGAGGGCAACAAAGACAGTTAACATTAAGGGGAGGAACACTCACTAAGAAATCAAGTCGCTTGACAGAATCAGTTTCTGAACCTGTTGCTTACTAGATAAGTATACTAAAAGGAGAAGATCATGCAATAAAGCAGACAAAGAGTTCCCAAAGCTTGCAGTTAGAACCGAGTTTTCCCTTCATTTCAGACCAGAAAGGCTGGGTATCCTCACACAAGCTGAGAAGTCCTAAGCAGCAAAAGGACTCAGGCAAATTTTTAAGTATTTAGAGCTAGAAAGAGAGTAGCCTTTCTTTCACCTTGGACATCTCCATCCTACCTCCTGAAGAAGGCAGATGACCTGTGCCTGATATCACTACTTGGACTGTAATTTTTCTAGGGTAGGAATGTTCTATTTCTCATGCGGGCAGCAGAGTCCCATTCTGTCACTCTAGCTCTTAGATGCTTTATTGGTACAGCTACTGGATATAAGGAGATTGCTCTTTTACCACAAGGACATTCAAGTAATGGAACAGGTTGCCCAGAGAGGTCGTGCGGTCTGCATCCTTGGAGGTTTTCAAGACCTGGTCTGACCTCATCACTAACTCTACTTTGAGCAGGAGGTTGGCCTCTCTTCCCACCTGAATGATCCTAAGCTGCTAGCTGCTGAAAGGTCAGCTATGAAGAGTCATCCAGTCATTAGAGATCCTGATTCCTGCTGTGAGACTGCTCATGTTTCTACTTGTTTCTGTCATACGTTGAGTCCCAAGGTGAGAGCAAGGGTGTGAGGGGATGATGCTTATAATTTAGAGCATCCTTCCCCCAGTAGTTGGAAGAGAGGATGCAAACAGCTAGGAGAGACATGATACTTCCCTCACTTACCAGTGGTTGCAGGACAGTTGGTGTTAGTGGCACCGCAGCTGTTGAGGGAGCCTCGTCCCCAGCTGGTGGGCCCCCAACTGCTGTCCCAACTAGGGGCACGCTATCCTCTCGTTTCGTAACGGCTCCCTTCTTTGTTGACTGCATCTTGATCTGCTGTGGCTTGGAGTTCATTGGTGAGTTATTGGTGGTCTGGAGTAACTGCATGTTACAAAGAGAGAAGACAAAAACAGCATCAAAGCAGCTGGGACAGTTCAGCAAGGTTCAGTGTTGGTTTTTAATAAAAAGCCACATAGAATTGATACCAATAGCCATTAGGAGAACACCACAGGCAGCAGCTGTTCAAAGGAACCTAGGCTGACACATCAATGAGCTCCTGAACTGCCCTCAAGAACCCCTGTAGGGCTGAAAGCCCAAGCAGTTGAGGTGATGCTCAGCTCTCCACAACGTGACTCAAAGGGACCAGTTACGAGCTGTCAGAAAGAGCCCGAGCCCTAAGAACTACAGGCATCTGACACATCCCAACCTTCTCATTCTCTCATTCACACCAGCCAAGAGTCACCACACAGACAAGCACATAGGTCATCTACAACCCATGTCAGGGCTGACATTTGTCATTGAAGGTTGGCCTCTTCCCTAAATTCTCCAGAGCTATCCAGATTCTCCTGCTGGCTTCTCAGTGCCAAAAGCAGCTAACGGGCAAAAACTGAACTCTTTGTCCTTTACCTTAGTGATGGTACCCACAGCTTTGGTGCGGCCTTCACGGAAGACCAGCCGCTGGTCTATATGTAAATATTCCGGGGTTTTAATGAAGCGAAAGTGCACTGTGGCTTTGTCCCCTGTCCGCAGGCAGTCCTTGTCCATGCTGAGAATCGTGGCCGTCTGGCGGATGCTGCCACAATGCACTGCGAATGTAATGCACAAAGGCTTTCAACAGCTAGTGCCATCAGTGAAACAAGCTTCAGACAGACATCTAAGGCAGCTCTTGCTGCTTTCTAGTTAACAGCGTTACAGGATGTAAAAATCTACTGTGTACCAAAGAGACCATATGGGTCACATGGCTGCCCTTGTTTGATCCTCAAAAAGAAAACACATCTAAGCTAGAGCAGTTGCCTTAGAACAAAGACTTTCCCGAGGGACCCTCAACAGAACCCTATACACCTAGCAGCTATGCTAGAGGGCCGGACCCCAAATGAGTCTTTCAGTCAGCATGTGAAGCTGAAGAAACTCTGCACCCCAGAGACCTGGCTCAAGTAGGCTCCGAGTATCCTTGGAGTTGCAGATCTCCTTTTTACCTACAGCCTCCCCTGCTCTTCTCTGTCAGCTCCTTGCCCTCTCTCTAACGTGTGGCTAGGGAAGTTAATACAAGGAACTGTGGCTTATACTCAGGTTGACACAGCCATCCGGAGCAAAACAACCTCAAGCTAGAGCTGATGTAAACTGTTACTGCTGGGAAATAAAGAAGATTAGACAACAGCAAGACACATACCCATGGCCTGATACCGTGGGCTGATGGTGGTGGGGTGATGGAGTACCAGAATCTCTGCTTCAAACTCCCAAGATGCTTGTGGGTTCAGACGAGGGGACACCATTACCATGCCTTTCCGGATGGAAGAACGCTTGATCTAAAAAGAAGAGAGACAAAAAGAGTTGAGCATGTTTCTCCTGGGAAAAAAATTGCTTCTCTGGCTGAGTGCATCCAGAAGGATCTCAAAGGATTTCACAGATATTAACTCATGCCCACCAAAAGGCAACACAAGACCTGTTTAGCAGCAGGTAACGGTGTTACGTATAGGTTGCAAAAATTAAGATCAGTGGAAGTTTCTGAGGAAGTTTTAGTCAGAGTGCTGGGAATGCTGGACACAAAGAAAAGCATTAACTCACTGCTTTTCTAAAAGCAAAATATGCATCCTGGTTGCGCATTACCCAAATAAATGATCTCTCCAAAAGCGCAATGTCCACTAACACAAAGCAATATGCTTGAACGCATGAAGTTTGATATAGCTTAAACTACGTCATCTTAAAATCAGTGCAGCTCCTACTGACATAAGCCTTTCACTGGAGAAATTGCACTAATCTTTGCTAATTTCTAAAACTCAAATCCAGTCCTAACAGTTTAGAACACGTGTACTGTAATTACCCTGCCCAGGGCACTAATGCAGCTGCAAGCACAGAGGGAGACTTTTCTCGCAAAACCTCTGTTTTCTTATAGACCTCCAATGCTATTCCTCATTACCTTGGGTCCCACTGCTATTACTTAGCACCTGTCAGGTGGAAGGACCAGGAACGGGACCTAGAGAGGTTCTTTGGAATTTTATTATGCTGCAAAATCAGGCAGCTGAGGTTTGCAGAAGCAGTCTGATTGCAGCTGACCTCTAAGAGCACTCTGTAACTGGGAGAGTAGCTCCTGTTCAGGGGGACTAGAGCGCATCATCTCACCTTTTTCAAAGCAAAGGAGGCAGTCTGGCCTCCACGCACTTCTTTGACAGGCATTCTCTTGCGATGGATGGACTTGACAGCAATAGGTAGGAAGTTGCCAAGGGGATCTGGCCCCAGCAGCAGGGTGTCATTCAGCTTGATTAAGCCTCTTAGTGTTGTTCCAGACACAACTGTTCCTACACCCTATGCCAAAAAAGAAACATCAGTAATTGGGGTTGCTCAATCATGCTAGCAGAAGAGTTCCAGAACTCCCTCTCTAGGCAAGATACCCTCTTCAACTGAAGACACAGAACGGAAAATTCTTCTAACGTCAGGCCCCTTACCGGGACAGAGTAAGTATCATCTATTTGGAATTCTGCTGGCTCTTCTTCTCTGTAACTGGTCCGTGGAGACAAGAGATTAAGAAACATCTTCAACAAATCCAGGTTCTCCCCAGTGACATTTGAAATCTGGAAAATCGGGCACATCCTGTAGAGGAAAATTGATGACAAATAGAGCTAGTTGGCCTTCTTGCCCGGGATTTCAAGTGTAGGGAGACATCCAAAATCTTGCATTGAATTCAATGCACAGTGCTAGGAAGGGAGAACCTGGCAAGCAAAGTCAGGGGCACAACATCATATGTTTGAAACCCTGCAACATTGTCTCTATCTTCCTAATGACATTTAGAGAAAAGTGTAAGGTTCCAGGACTGAGGGAAGCTGAATACCCCGAAGCAGCTTCTCATTTCTGTCTCAAACCAGGGAACACTAGCAGGTCAGTCTCAAAATCAACACATTCTTAAGCAATCAAAATGCCACAGGGCAAATACAACCTGAACACATCTAGACGATGGGACTCTCTTTCCATATCTTCTCACCCAGTCTCCAAGTAGGACCAAAGACAAATGACTCTCCACTACTCCCATTACCTCTCTGAGCTGAAGTTGGAGGCTGTTACAATGACATCATCCTTGCTCTGAACCAGGACGGGAATCTTCCTGCACCCTGGGGACTTCAGCAGTCGCTGTAATAGCTTCAGGGTTTCTTAAAGGGTGAAATGAACATTGTTAGGGCAGCATCTCCCTTCTTCACGAATCGTCTTTATTGGGTTTCCCCAAGTGAGACTGGTACTCTTGCCACAAATAGACTGGAGAAGGTGGCTAAACACGTGTGAGTGAGGCTACGTGTTTGCTGCAGCTAAGGTGGGATCAGGAGCCATTCTATCTCTTCCTTTTCATGCCAGCTAGCCTGCTGCCAAGTGACGCTGTAGATGAGCAGACATACATGTTTGCATCTACAAGTGCAATAGAATGAAGCAGAACTTTTACAGTTGTCTATTGAACAGCTTTAAGTAGTTGCAAGATATTTCCTCTTCCTATAAAGGATTTCTTATATTGAATTTAATGAAAATGAGCAGCACTCAGAATTGAAATACTTGAGAACGTGAACTAGAACTCAATTCTGCCCAAACCTCAACACACTTCCCCTGGCAACCAACCTGCCTTAGAAGGTTAGAGAAGCATAAAAGTGGTAAAGATCATCATCACAAACTAGGACAATGCAGGGGGACCAGAACCACAAACAACTGTTTTAGGACAAATCTCCTGGTTTCCAGCTTTGGTTTCTTGCCTCTTTTTAATTTATTTTCTGTTGAAATCTCATAGCTGGCACCCAGCAGAGGCAATACCGATGCACGAACAGAAAATAAGTCTCCTGCAAAAAACCTTGCAATAGATGAGGGGGGAAAAAAGGCTAATAAGCACTTACAACAGCACATCCTTTGTATTCTACAATTGTCATCCAATTAGAAGATTTTTGTGAACTAATACATGTCTGTGGGAAAGCAATGTTTTGGGTACAGAAACACAAATATCTAATCATGCCATCTGGTCTTCACAGATGCACTTGAGCCAAATCTTGCGTCTATTTAATTTAAACAGAACACGACACTGGAGCGGCTTCTCCCAAGAGCAACTCTTCTCTCCTCAACCTTAGTCAAACGTTCTCCTTCCTTCCTAGTTATTCATCGTAAGGCCAGGCCTTACATTTATTTGCCAGACTTCTATTATAGAGGTATTTAGATTATCTTTTGATCACATGCTTCTGTTAATCTAAAACACATCTAGGATTTTCACAAAAAGTGAACAAAGTACAGACAGCACTGGGAGCATTCACTTTTCCGATTCTCCAGTCTGCTACTGAGAATAAGCACTGCTCCAAGTAACCATGGCATGTTCCTGAAGGTGCAAGAAACAAATCAGTCAGGAGAATTTTAAAGGTGAGAGTTGATCACAGCCCGTGAAAACGTCAAGCATCAGCAAGGGGCCACTGCTGGTTAGAGGTTAGAGGTACTGCTTTAACTGGTGCTAAGCAAAGAGGTCGCCAGCCCCTGCTGCTCATTGCCGTTCCCAGACTGTGTCTGCTCCTGCTGCCAAAACACACACATGCGGCTGCTTTGAACTATGATTTATTAAGTGCTGGTTGGCTGTTTGGACAGATCTGTACGTATGCCAGCAAATTTGAGATGTGTCCAGGTGAGCAGGATGTGGCAAGCAGCTGACAGCAGTCACCTCTTCACCTAGCTGCTGCCAGAGTACAAGTCTAATCACAGCTTAATATCACATTCAAACTGTGGGCAAAGAGAAAGGCAGGCGCTTTCAAATGAACAACCAGGGTTCCCCTCCAGGTTTGGATACCCAGAGACAAGGCAAAACACCAACCCCAACTGTTTGCTTCTCCTCCGAGAGCTCAATTAAACAAAATCTCATAGCAAACACTTCTTTGTTGCCCAGCTGAGCTCCCCACACCTGGATAATTTGGAAATGACGACTGCAAGGGAACTGCCTTGCAAAATGAGCAGGGGAGAAGGACAGATTCCTAGAAGGTACTTAAGATACAGTCAAAGCCAGGCAAAAAGTCTTTCTTCTAGCAATAATTTCTCAACCCAAGCAGGGGGCAATAGCACATCAGGAGGTAGGAAACACCCTTGAAAGAGCTACATTTACCTTGTAGGATGTTGGCAGGGCACATGTCAATCTTGGTCACCACAACAAAGACAGGAACGTTGAGTGCCAGCGCCAGGCCCAAGTGCTCCTTGGTCATTCCAACAATCCCAGCATTACTGCCAACCTACACCAGGAATACAGGATACGGTAAAGCAAATGTTCTTCTTGCAATTAGATGGGTTACAGACAAGGTCTTGTGACAGATATGCAGTAGGCTGTGATTAGGCTGCTGAAGTGTCACTGGGACTGTGTGTACAGACCCAGCTCTTTTCAAATGCTTTTGGACATACTGGTAGGAGGAGAAATACAGCTAGTAAGGACTCGTTTCTCCTCAATTTTAACAAGGTGTTCTGGTGTTTTTTCAGTAATCATTCAACTTGGATGTCAATGTGACTGACAATCCTGGGGAACTTTCCTCAGAGTCCTGACTACATCCCTACAGCGGTTGCTGCTCTCCACCTCTGGAAGTTGCTGCCTCCCCCACAACCCCACAGGGACCTTGCGATAGGAAAGAAGTTGAAGGGTTACAGCTGCGAACAACATCCTGCTGGTACTACACATCTTTCTTGCTACGCACCATAAGCATGCAGAAGTCAGGTAAGTGGCCAGTCATGCCAAAGACGGTGGTTTTCAGGTACTTTTCATGACCGGCCAGGTCAATGAAAGTTATGACCTTGGTGGATTTCTCACAGATCTTGGTCCATTCCAAGCTGCCACCGTGGCTGTCAGGCTTGTTCACCACGTTGCCCTCACTGTCAAAGCCCAGAATATCATTGCCCACGCTGCTGGTGCGGCCTGATTCAATCTCATGCTTATGCCGGAAGAGCTTTTGCCGAGCGAAGCCTCGGCCATTGTCTAGTTCGCCATGTGTCAAGACACCCAGCAACGTGCTCTTTCCCGCATCCACATTTCCAACCACTGCTACCCTGGAAGGGAAACAAAAAAGGAAACTGGTAAAATCTGACACCTGAAGGAAAACACACCACCGGTCCTGCAAATATTTAACTTCATTCTCACTAACATTCAAACAGAAGTTCGAAAATGTTAGACCTTCACAAGCACAGCAGAGATTCTTCAGCAGTTGCTAGTTAACAGGAAAGATCCCAGGCTCTGAATCAAGACTGTAGAAACATGTCCCCGGTGCCTGGGACACAGAGAATAGAATCCAGGATTGCTTGATGCTATACACAGTATAAGTCTCTCCCAACTCCTAATCTCTGCAATTAAACACACAGACTTTTCTTTTGAATCGGCATAGCACAAATCCCAACTTGGTCCTGCTAGAATACCTCTACTTTTTTCATCTTCCTCATGTTGCAATAGCACCAAATACTACAGAAAGCACGGAAATTTCAATTGCTCTGTTCCCAGAACAGGCAAAGCTCATACAATAACGCACCATTGACCAAGAGAACCATTTTTAGGGGGATACCCTTTCCTACAGTAGCCTCTTTCCTCTCTCCAGTAAAGGTGGCCATTACAACTGTTGGCAAATGTTGGAAAATCCATTCCATTCAGGTCTCGGCAGACTCTTAAGTTGCATTATATAAGCTGTAAGATGTCCATTAAAAGGTGACTTGGATCACTGCAACCTTGGAATAGAATTGAACCATTAGTCACAAGAATTTTTTCCCAGCAGCATGCATACATGCACACACATACACACAGGAGTCCCTGCTGGGATTCAAGCACGCAAACCATCCCAAAGTCATGAAGCTGTCACCCAGATAACAACAGTCCTCAGCTAAATACAGGCAAATCTCCACACACAGTCTGTACACAAAAGAAACAGCAACAACAACAAAAAGAAGATTTAATCAGCAAGGAGTGGTCTAGCTCAATTTCCTTTGTGGGGTAGCTACGACACCCAGACTCAAATTAGCGTTGCTGGCTCAGCATCACTGACTGCTCACATGGTAAAAATGCAGCCAGGGTGCTGACTAACCCTGTCTCCACCCGGCTCCTCACCTGACCTCCAGGAAGTCGTTGTCACCCACACGTTTCCGAACAAGGTAGTCGCGCACCTTGCCCCCTGCTTCCTGGTGCTCCCGCAGAAGGATCACATCTGCCTCAATCTGCTCTGCCATGCTCTTCAGCGTAGCATAAGATGCTTCCATGTCTGCCTCGCTCAGGCCATATTCAGTCCCATCTAGTAAGAGGTTGAGGAAGCAAAGGACAGACAGTGAGCACCACTTTGCAATAACTAGCAGCAATTTCATTCTGCCTGGGTCTTTCATACTGATCAGGATTTACATGTGGACTGGAGACATCAGCCATGTAAACAGATTAAGCACCCCTTTACCCAACAGAAAAAAAGATGATCTTCACTTTAAGTCTTACAAGTATATTAGGAAGGCACCATCTTTCATCTAAAAGAATTTTCTTTACAATTACTACAAATAAAACTTAGAGTTTGGCATGAAAGATCCATATCTATCTAATTTGCTTACTTCATATGTTGAAAGGTATTTTGTTTACAATTTCCTTCATACAGTCAGATAGAAAATCTCCTCTCTCATTGCAATAGAAGAAAAAACATACACCACAAGAGAGGTCTGACTGAAATATCACCATAGTTAACCAGTGGCAGTTGGACCAACTTAAACAAACAGCTTATTTTATAAAACCACATCCCAAGCCCATTTTTCTGCAAGTATGGCCTGCACAGCAATTTCTTTAGCCCCCACATACCCCAGTTAAAACAATGTTTTTGGCCTGTCTCACCACTTTCACTCCGGCACTTGAAAGAAATCCTGCCAAGTACACAGGAGGCCAGTAAAAAACAAGGAGCCACTACTGCCTCTGAACAGCCTTCCCAAGTAAAGAGCTGACAGCCAGGGCAAACCAGTGGCGACTGCCTAGCCAGCTTAAAGGCTGCCACATTTCTCAGCTGCTCTCTTACCCTAGGTGCTAAGAAGCTGCACAGATTTCATGCCAGGATCAACTCTTTGGGTTAAAAAAACAAAAAAACAAAGGAAGGTGGAGACAGACACAGCACCTGTAGGACCAGAGCTATTGCTGTGTACTCATTTGCATGCATGGCTGTGTCATCAGCTGGTAAGCGGTAACTGCAGTTTGCACAACAAGTAAAGTTGTTGGGTGAGACTGGGAAGTTGCTGAGATGGTGAAGAAATAAAAGGCTCCAGGGCTGGGGTCCCGGGTTACAGAAGTGGAATGAAAAGTAGGGAAAAGGTGAGAAGGGGCTGGAAGGAAAATGAAGACTCAATGCTGGTGAAGCAGTGAGCCACCCAGCAGTCTTCGCTGGCCCCTCAGTCTTCTGAGTTGGGTATCCATGATGATCGAAATCACAGACATTCATAGTCAGTGAGAAAGAGACTTTGGCTAGGACATCAAGTTTTTTTTTTTTTCCTTTAGGCTCTCCGTCCCAATAGCCTCAATCTACAGAAAAGACCCCCATCTTCCTCCAGTATTCAGTAGCCTGAAATGAAGTCAAATGTCTTAGCTCATATTTTAAGAAATAAATGCCTATTTCTAAGCACATCATCACAACCACCACCAGTCAACCTCCTCATGAGACACCCTAGAAGGGAAAGTATTTACTAACCCAACTAGTTAGATCTACCCTGCCGATGTGGTTATCCCAAATGCCAGGGAATTAGACCACGCGTGGGAAGCTTGCTTGGATGCAAAAGTATCATCCCTGTGATATTGGCTGGGCGACCGCTAGGCATCTAATCCTGGCTTCTCCTCTGCGTTGGCTGCTTTGGAAGGCACCAAGAAAACCCAACAAACACACAGCTCTGAGGTAACGTATCTCTCTCCCTCCATTACCTCAGCCAACTCTGGCACTGAAGCCCAGTGTTTTGTATTCTTCCCCAAACTTAGTAAATAGTAGAACTTCCGGTCATAACAAATTGATATCCAACAGATATTTAATACATCTGAAACATACATTTTGCCTTATGATAGCCTTAGACAACTTGTTTTGCATCCAGAAAAAGAAACTTCTATTTCTAAGCAAGGCCATGTTCAATATGGTTCATCAATATCAAATGCAAATAATTGAACCGAGAAAAAGAACAAAGAAAATGTAACTTGCACTAAACTAGAAAATCTATAAAGGCAAATGACTGCAGTCACCCCTTAGTGAATGGGGCATTAAAGGTATTAGGCTTAGAATAGGAAAGCCTTCCTCTACGCAGTACAGGAAAACTGGGAAACACTACCAGAGAAAGTCAACAGCCGCTATTTTGTCTGAACTATTTCCAATTACCTTCCTGTGCAGTAAAAAAAGATTATTGTTATTTCAATGGAGAAGCAAACAAAAGCAGACATAACATGACCTCCATCGGATCCAAACTGGTATTGTGATTTCAGATTCTTCACCTTCTCCTACCGTGCCCAGACAACTTATGCCTTATGCAAAAAAAAGAACTTTTATGATTTTATATAAAAAGTATGTATAGCTCTTCCAGATAAGACAGTTGCTGGCAGAGATGGGAAAAGACTCTGTCCCATACATTCTCTTTTATGTGTCATGGAGATTTCCAAGTTCCTCTGGAACCCACCTTCAGCAGCAGTCCAGGTAGATGAACTAGGCTTTTCTCATAACATTAATGCTTCCTGTTTTTTTCCAGAGGAAGCTGAACTCACCTGAACCTTGTCCAATGACATAGATGGTCTCCCCACATCCCTCATCGATTCTCTCTGACATCTGCCGGAGCAAACTGTCATACTGCTCTGAAGTTGGACTCACCATCACCAGCTGGAAAAAAGATTAAATATTCAATTTGCAGGTGTCAAGCAAAGAGTTTCAAAACCAGCTTCAGTTATAAGGACAATCAATCAACATGCTTTACTGAAAAAGGAGGGCTCTTTTTCAAAGACCACTTTCTGTCTTTTTTTTTTTAAATCAGCTTTGCTGACAGCTATTTTCGTGTGACACTGCAAGAGGTTATTTGTCAGAGCTCAGAGTCTGTTTACAAAGGAAGATTTACTTCAAAGCAAAAAAGAATACCAAGCTTCTCATTTTGAGGTAACCAATGTTTTAAAGCCACATTTAAGTGAACGTCCCACTTCTACTTCTGTGTAATGCATGTTTCCATGCAAGGCAAACAGAAAGGGTTTTCCTCCAAAAACATTGCTTAGCTAGGTACTCCACCAGCCTTCACTGCACACTGTGCTGCTGTTACCCAACACATGATGGGACAGCCAGAGGAAGCTAGCCAGACCTCACCGCGCAGCACACTCAGGCATCAAAACCTAGAGTGTCTTATATGTCTTTCACATACATGATTTCCACTTTTGTTTTCCAAGGGGACAGAGGAGAAGGAGAGAACGCAAACTAGGATTATTTTCAAATTCCTAACAAAACTTTAGGTACTTCACACCACAATGCTGACAGACAGACATATGAAGCAGTTTGTACACGCATATTCAGACATTTCACCAACAGAGAGCTCCAGTTTTGCAAGCCAGCACCCGTGTCACCAACAAGCTTTGACTGCAGTTACTGCACTTCCTTGGCCCTTCCCTGCAGATGCATCAAGAAAAAAGGAAAAGTGGAAAAAAAGGACAGAAAGAGGAGAACAAGGACAACAGGACAGCACTCTTCTCAGAGCAACCTCTTTCTGTGCAGCACCATTTGCGGCAGAGTGCTGTGTTAAACACCTGAAGACATTCGCACAGAGATCTTCACCAAGTTGCCACAACGGCAGTGGCAAACCAAGGAGACCTTCATCACTCGTTCGGGATTATGACTATTTGCTTTCCAGCTACCTCCATGACTAAAAATCTGCTGGCAGCCTAGCACACTGGTATAGCAGTGAAATAGTGGTTGTGATTGAGATCTGTACTGTTGTTAAAAAGGCTCTTTCACCAGCAGTTGTAATGGCTACCACCTACTGATAGCCCTACAGGCAGGTGCTCCTGTGCCACACTACAACACTCAATGAAATCCATACTTTCACTAGCTGTTCTAACACACACACAACCAAATCAAGACCACAAAGACATATTTCTCTCCATTATGCACCAAGGCCAGTCTGAAATCTGCGCTAGGTTTTTCCTAAAACACATCGTTTACAGCAATTCACAATGTTTACACCTTCAAGTCTGCCCAATATTCTCTACCTAAAGAGCCTGAATTACCTCTACTATCATATGGGATTAAGCCCTTTATTAGGAATTATGGGTGTAAAGAGGACCGAAAACCCCATACCTACTGCTTAAGCAGCTTTCAGAACTATAGTGACGCACGTATCGGGACAACTGAAGCACAGATAGCAAGCGCTAATTAAAAGGCTTGAGGTGGCCAAAGCAATACCTTCTGCAACTGTTAACGGTCACACAGAATATGCACGTATCCGCAATGCCAGACAGAGACAACTACAAAAGAGACAATTGCCTTCACATACCTACTTTAGATGTGTGCCCTAAGTCTTTGAATTACTTGGCATGGTCGGCAAAGCACTAGGGGTGACAATGCAGTCTGACCTGCAACGCTACGTATTCTCTCTCTGATGCTACAGAGGGTTCAGTTTTGCCTTTATTAGTGATTTTTTTTTTTTTTTTAAATAAGAGACCCCCCCCAGATGTAAATTTATTGAGAGGAAAGTCAGCAACGATTTACAGGCTTGATCAGGACAGGAACGGGAGCCTGTGTGTTCACATATAGGGCTTGTTTTGCCTAGTGAGCACTTTCAAGAATTCCTGGAAGCACAGCAGACTGGCTCACTGTTTAGGCTAATGCACAAGCATTGTTCAGGGACAGAGGAGGATCCACTAAATAGGTTCTTGTATTCATAAAGATCAAAAAAAACACAGCAGAGGGGTCATCAGTGTAGAGGCACACTTTAACTTCAGTTTCTTCAAGTCTGAGCACCAGCTTCACTTTTCTGAGTTCAAATGCTTCAGCAGTGAGGCAGGGTGTTGACTAAAATACCAGGGGCATTTCAGCAGAGCAGCTCACTGCAGCCTTTCTTCATGATGCCAGGCAGGAGGGCTGGGGGCTGAAAGAGCATGTTCAGCTTGCACAGATCAAAACTCTGCTCCCCCACCCTGTTGCTTTCACTGCCATGCAGGAAGGTGCTGCTGAAGGGTGTTCCTCTGGCAAACTGTCGTCCCTAAGAGCAGGAGTCCTCCAAAGCCTACCTCGCAGCCGATGAAGCTTGCCGCTGATATGATTCAGTGGGATGTCAAGAGAAGGATGTGCCGAGCAAGTAGCAGCTTTTGTGGATCAGACCTTCCACTGCTGTTCAGTATTCCTAAGAGCTGCCTCTGCATCTCCCCAGCCATTTCTGCAGTTTCCTAGGTCATTGCAAGATCTTACTTGCTGTTTTGAAGATGCCTTTCCCCTAGCTCCCTGGACAGTGGGAACCTGTTCTTTGCCAACTCCTTGGTCAGAGAGAGGCCCTCCATCTTGACCTCTGTTTTTTTGCTTTTCACCTTTGAGAAATCCCCTCCATGCTTGCACTACGTATTCTTGTTTTTCAGAGGTTTTCAAAGCAAAATTTTTTGCTTTGGTTCTTTCAGCTTTGCCAGGCATTGAGTAGTTAACAGTAGGAGCCACGTGGCTCTAGCAACCTCAGATTTCCTATAAGACAAAAAAGTAACAACCAGTTATTGTTTTATTCTCATAATAGCAGCAGGAAAAAACGTCTCAAGTTTGAGATGCCATTTCTGAAGTTCCTTCCCAGGCTCCAGGAGGATGAGATTTTTTCCTCCTTTCCTCTGATCAGCTTTGAGACTGACACAGGGAAACTCCACATACCAGAGATGGGTAGAAGCTAATAGCAGTCAGCTGTCTGAGCTTACTCCAGAAGGCAAGCTGGACTGTGCCACTCTGCACTGCTCATCAGCAAGGAAGAGGTCATAGTATTAATTAACAGCAATTTCAAGACACCAATAAACCAAACTAAGGTTATATTAGCACTTCTGCAGGCAGTCCTAACAAAAGATGCATTCCCTCTCTGTGAGGTAGACAACAAACTATTTCTAAAGTCTAAGGGAAAACCAAATACTATGCGGTCTGTAGTGCTGCTGTTGGTTGGAATGATCCCTCCTGACATTTTGCACGGCTGGAAGGCCATCACCAGCCTTGGGAAGCTAGGGGAAAGGCAAACTTGTGCCTTGCCACATTTCAGTCTCACATCCACATCCGTAACGAAAGATTTTGCTTTCTGTTTCTTGTGGACATACATACTTCAAGTGCTATTCATGTTTTATAGTCAGTATAGACCTAATATAAGTAAAACACGTTTGTGTCTCACTAATAACTTTACATGACATGTTTTTATCTGAAGGTTGATTATTACTGCAGTGTATTTTTTACCAAAGGGAAAACAAAGACCCATTAAGATCAACATGATAATGATGAATGAATGGAACTGTTTGCTTGACCAACCGACACCGTGTACTCGATAATAGAATCCCAAAGGGTTCTCCTCTAAAAAGAGCACACCTTACAACGAAAGCATTGGAAGGTGGGGGGCAGGGGGAGTAAAGAGGAGGGAGGATTGGTATAAAAGTATATAACACATCGGTGGTGGGTCACACAGGGACAGAAGAAACAGCTAGCAAACAAACAAACTGCAGTGGGAAGCACTGTTTTAAGCAAAAAGCAGAGGGCAGCAATTCAGCTGGGAAGACAAAAGAGTTAACGGGGTGGGACAGGGGGGACAGGAGAAGGAGGCGGCCAGGCTATCTATTGCATTCTCATCATATGGGATTGTTGTTTTGAGCACAGAGGAGGAAACTAACTTGGAGAGATGGGGCAGAGCTCATAGTCTTAGCTCTCACCCAAGCTGGGGATGAATGAGAGCTCCAGGAAAACGAATGCATGTGTACACTGCCACAGGGAGCACAAATAACTTGCAATAAAGCAGAACTGCTTACCTGTCACCTCCACAGCACCTGTAGATTTCTAGGAACGGAAGACTGGCTGACAACACAGGTGGAGGTTGTGGGAGAAAAGCATCCACTTCTCTTCTTCACAGAGTTCTGGTCAGGTTCCTGGCTGTCAGCAATCAGTGAGACAGTCCTCAGCGTCCTCCTGCGCCCTCTTCCGCATCAGCCACATCCAAGATAAAGCACAGGTCGATATTGGCATCCTGTATCAAAATCTTGTCCAGCTCATTAAGACATGAACAGGTGGCTCAATAGATACTGCAGGTTTGGTTTCTGTCCTTTACTTTCTTATAAGACATCTTCATAATGTTTGTTTTAATATAGCACCACATTGTAAAATATTTCAGTCATCCACACATTTCTACATCCACACACCAGACTTCCTCTCTCTTTACTTCTTCACAGAGGGCAAGAAAATCCAGGACTTTGAGACAACTCCAGCTGGAAGCATGAAGAGGAGGGACAGCAGAGAACTAGAAAGAAACACTAGCTCTGCTGACTTCTAAGGCACATAATTACAAGTGGACCAAATCCAGCTGTCAGGAAGCTTCCGAGCAATACATGGCATCAGGATACTGCAAACCCTTGGCAGCAAAGAGCATACTGGTAAAGAGACCAGCCAATTGGGACAAAACATAAGGCAGCTTGAAGACCACTAATGTAGTTTGCGGCAGGCTCTGGCACGCACATATTACTACAAGGCACCTTCCCACAAGATGAAAGTGAAAGCTGATCTGACAGGAGTAACTCCATCACACAGTTTTGTCACTTGGATCCTAGCAGAGAACTGCAGAACACGGACAACCCTTTTTGCTTTGCTGCAACCCGGCTTGCAAGAGCAAGGCACCCCTGCCGCTGAGCTCTTGTGCTCAAAAGTTACCAACTCTGACCTGCTTTGAAGACTGTGTAGAAAGCCCAGGGAACTAGTACGACTGGCATGAGAGATAACTACAGAGATCCAGTGTAAAGGAAAAACGTTAGTGAGACGTTAAAGCAGCTGTCAGCTCCAAACCCTACACTTCCTAAAACGATGCAACACCCACTGCAGGCGCTTCCGCAGGGGAGCCGAGGAGGGGAAGGAGCAGGGGGCTGGAGCCAGGCAGCACCCTCCCTTCCCGGCCGGGAAGCAGCCCGCTTCCAGCGTTAGGCACAGCTCAACTTCATTGTGCTTTTTCCCCCACTCCCCCCGACGCCAGGCTCCGCGGGCGGGCTCTGCCCTCCGCCTCGGCCCGCAGAGAGGGCTGGGGGCACCCCCCGGACCCCCTCCGCGGGCTGCCCGGCGGGGGCGCGCAGACAGGGGGATGCGCGCTCCCGCACCGCCCCCCCGAAGCGAAGGG